ACTAAAGTAGTGTTCATAAACATGATGTCACAATATGATCGACTGTACCAAAAATTCTACTGAAGTCCAAGTGCCTAAGGGAAAGTACACAAATCATAAATGTGAAGCCGGTTGAATTTGCTTTCACAAAGTAAACACACCCGTGTAACCAGCAGGCAGCGCTTACGAACAAAAGCCCAGAAGCCCTCTCCCCGTCCCTGCAACCGCACACAACTAAGCTGGGCTGGACTGCAAACCTGGTGGCAATGTGGACTCAACAACACACACTCCTTTGTGTCTCCCCCCACCCCATGCGGTGGGTGTCACACTAGGAGGATGATTTAATTCAAATACACCGAAGAGTCGCCGTGTGCCCAGCATCGCGCCAGATGTCAGGGGTACAAATCAATGAAAGATACACTCCACAGTGGGGGGAGTGGGGAGTATACACCCCACTATTTCTAGCATGTCATTTCATACCAATTCAGCACTTATTTTATTCCCCAAGAACCTAGGATCAACCTATTAGTGTTTGCTACAGTCCGAATGTTTGCGGCCCTCCACAATTCACATGTTGAAACCTACCCTCCATGTGATGGCATCAGGAAGGCGGGGCCTTTAGGGCGTGAGTAGGTCGTGAGGGTGGAGCCCCCCTGAATGGGATTAGTGCCCTCAGAGAAGCGGCCCCAGAGAGCCCCCTTGTGCCTTCCACCACGTGAGGTTACCGCGGAAAGTCCAGCGAGCAGGACCTCACCCAAAACTAACCCCGCAGGAGCTATGCTCTCGGACCTCCTGGCCTCCAGAACTGTGAGAAATTGGTCTCTGGTGCTTCCAAGCCGCCCAGTCTGTGGGCTTTGGTTTCAGCAGCCCAAGTGGACTAAAACGGTATTCTCCCAAAAGCCCCTTTGGTCTTCCCTACTCTGCTGACGGGGGGTGGGATTTCGGTTTGGCAGTAAGGGCAGTGCAGGCTGACAGAAGAGGCGTGGCACCACTGCTAAGGGGACACGCAGCCTGAACAAAGCCTTTGAGCCCATGTTGGCTTCAATGTGACAGCACCTGGGTCACCCCGGGGACCTCTGAGACACATTTGAGAGGACTCACTTAAGCGGACACCAAGGTTAAGCGCCGTGTTGGGAGAACCATCAGCCGCCAGTGCAGACGCTCTCTGAAGACAGGGCCGGAGCTCCTGTGAAGCGATGGGAGGCCGGGGCAACGAGCCGCGGGAAAAGGGCAGCCCTCCCAGCTCGCTCTTCCATGACTTAGGTTAGGAAACAGAGAGTTTCCTCTGAAGGCACCCAGAAATTCAGGGGGTGCAGACGAGCGTGAAAAGGAAAGTCAGGGAGAAGGAACCAAAGGGTCCGGCTGCCTCTCACTGAAGATTCGGAAGGGGAGGGAGGCTGACCTCTCTCTCTCTCTTTCACACACACACACACACTGTTCTGCCTCTCTGCTCTGTCTCCCTGCTCAAGCTGCCCCGACACATCACTGTATCACAACCACACTTCACAAGCTGGGCTGACAACAGTGAGGGAGTTCCCAGGTGATCCTGCCAGACCAGGAGTGAGTGTCGGAGTGAGACCGAATTCCTTGAGTCTCCAACAAACTGCACATGGATGAGAGTGAAGCATTGCCTAAGGAGGCAGAATAAAGGGCCCAGAATCAGAAAAGCAAAGAACTGCTGAAGCTGGCCGAAGGCATGAAAGGTGACACGTGACTGAGGACTTCCAATGTCTCCCACCTAGCAGAGAATTCTGGACCTTTTTTTTTTTCCATGGATACAATTACCTGTCTGGAGAAGCCTGTGGACGCTTCCTCCAAAAGTTTGAAGCAGCCAAAAATAAAATGCAGAGGAATGCCTAATAATGTCAATGTGTGAAATAGTTATCGTGCACCTCCTCATTCGTTCACTAGATAATAGGGTCTCTAGCAGGAGATTTAACAAGCACCATGATCTGGAAGAAGAGATGAGCCCCGGTGACACTGTGAAGTGCCCGTGACAGCTGCAGTGTGCTTGGGAACGGTCTTCGATCTCCCTCGGGGACAGACCCATGAGTGTTGTGAATGCTCCTGTGATGTATGGTTGATAGTCCTACTTACAGGGAGTGCTAACTTTCAGTTAGAGCTTTGTGAAAATAATGATGTAAGTTTTCTTCTCCAAGACGACGAGCTCTTTTAATTCTATCTGCAGACCCTTGGGAGGGAGGAAGATCTACAGGCCTCAGGTAAACCTTCCATTCTTTCCAAAAATCACTACCAATTTCAACTTCATCCAACCATGCAGGGCCGGAAATCAGGTTCCCAGGCAAAGCCTGCAAACCCCAGGAAATTTTCCGGCAACCCCAGCCGCTGACTTACGGAGACGTGGGCCATTACTCTGCATGCTACAGACATCCCAGTTCTCAGTGGCAGCAGGAATCTGGAACCCTCTTCCAAGCCCTCTGTTCACAGAACCTCTCCGGAGAGCCTTCCCCAACTCCCCCCTCCTTGTCAACATGTGCCACGTCCCCCACCCTGCTGTCACCTGCCACCCCTAACACCACCTCCCTTACTTTCCTTGAAAGGCCAAGCGTGTTGCCTTTTCTCTGTTTAATCTATCTGGGTCATGGCTGAATCCGTCAGAGCGCAATGGCGGGCAAACCGACACTGAAATCTCAGCCTCCCCACATTCGCGCCTGAAGATTCAGCCCCAGGTTGCCCAAACCCTGGCCACTGAGGGAACCAGGTGAGGGAATGTGCAGGATGGGTCTCACGTGTCCACAAACATTTATTGTGCCTCTGCTGAGCTAGCACTGGGTCGCGAAGGCCTGGTGTGCACATGTGCTTGTGAAGAAATCACTCAGACAATGATCCCACAGGGCTGGACACTGGGATGCCTTTATTTGTCAATGATTTTCTACTGGGCACCTAGTGGGTTCCAGGTGCCAAGTGGGTGCTGGAAATGAATATACAAGTAAGCGGATATGAAAGAGCTCATCCAATTGTCACTAGTGCTGGAAAAGAACTTGGAAGGGACATGTGGAATAGGGTAATGGGGGCGGGGTGCTTTGTTACATGTGGCAGTAGCTGCCTTCCCTGAGACCTAAAAGATAAAAAGAGGGAGCCATCTGTGTGAAAAGCTGGAGGAAAATGGGAGAGGCAGGTGTTTTGAAGAGGAATCAAAAATCCAGGGAGGCTGAGGGTGCCAGTGAGAGGGGGAACTGGTGTGAGTTTGGCTGGAGAGGAAGCTGCCAGACCAAGCTGGGGGAGTAGAGTGGAAAGCTCACAGCACAGACTCCAGAATCAGGTTGGCAAGAATCTGGCTCTGAGACTTCTCTAGCTATGTGACCTTGGGGAAGTCACTTGCCCTCTGAGCCTTAGCTTCCTCATCTCTAAGTCGGGAGCAACATATATGTCCTCCATTGAGTTGCTAAAAGCTTGAAGTATAAAGTACTTAGAACAGAGCCTGGTGCACAGCAGGTGCCTTGGAAGGGTTTGTTTTGCCAGGACTTGTTCTGCACTTGGTGAGAAGCTGTGGGGGGTTTAAGCTGGGAGAAGAACGATCTGTTTGTCATTAACAGATTATTGGCCATCATGTTGGTTATCAATAAGAGGAAGAGTTGGGAAGGATCCTGGGGTCATCCACACCAACACCTTCCTTAGTGGTTCTCTCTGGGGAGGGGAGGGGACAGTGCTCAAAGAGCCATCACTTGTAAAGGCAGAAGAATGGCTGTCCCTTAAGAGCACTGGGCTGGACAGAAGGTCGAGAGGCAGCTGGTCACAACATCTGGAGAAGGTCACATCGACCACCCGCACCCCCCAACCCAGTAGGGAGCCCACTATTCCCACTTCCAGAAGATTCCAGGTCCCACACCCTGGGTCCCAGCTGGCTTCCATTCCTGCCAGTGTCAATGTCACTTCTCTAGGATTGTAAATGCCTCAAGGGCAGCAGCCATTTCCTTCTATTCACACTGTACAGTGACTGACAGGCCCCAACCAAGTGGGTCTCCGAGATATTGAATAATCGATTAAAACAGGAAGGTGGAATCATAGCATGTTAGTGCAAACCTCTATTAGGGACCCACGGCCCTTGGGTGGGGGCGGGGGCAGCCTTCCCCAGACTCTCCTCCAGCCTCTTCCCCTCTGGCTCCCCAGAGGACATTTTGCTCTTCCCACCTTGAAAATGTACCTGGAGTTCACAACCTCTGCAGGCAGCTCCTTCCGACCCCTTCCCAGAGCCCTTCGCTGCACTGCTCAGTGGGGACACCACCCATTTCCTGCCCGGAGGGGCTCTGGAGATGAGCCAAGCCATAGGCTGAAAGCCCTCCGGTCTCCAGAGGCCTCTTCAGAGCTGGGGGAGGCCACCGCGAACCTCCAGGCTGGCTGGGCTGCAGCCGCGGGGAGGGGCCGGGCTGTTCAGTCTTCCCCAAATCCGCCTGCCCCTCCAGACCCCAGCGCTCCCCGGGCAGCTGCCCCTCTTCGGCTGCCGGCTACATACCCTCCCCTCTGGTTCTGGGTGGGCTTCCCCTGCCGAGCTTTGTCGGCGCTTTCCCTACACCAGCCCATGACCCCTCCTCCCCACGCCTTCTCTCCCCTTTCACTGTCCCCTTCCTCTTCCCCAATTCTGCAAGATTCTCGTTCTCCACCTTTCCTCCCCGTCTCCCCGCCTCCTCACAGCCCCCTTCCCTATTCGCCGTGGAATGCCCGACTCCCACTCTCACCCGCGCCCCAGCCCCCTCCCCTCACTCCTCCCGGCCCCGCAGGCTCCTCCCGGCCCCGCAGGCTCGGCTCCCGGCCCCGCACGTTCCACTCCCAGCCCTAACTGCTAACCAAGTCTCCTTTCCCATTTTCTCGCACGCCCTCCCCTTAGCCCTCGCGGTCCTCCTTCCTCCGGTCCCCAAAGTCTCCCATCGCCCAATTACAGCCCTCTCCCCAGCCCGCCCCGTTTTTCCGGGCCCCTCCGCGAGTCCTCCACCCCACGTCCCCCGCCGCCGCGGCCGGGAGACCCCACCGCTCCCGGGAGGCCGCGGCGCCGCCCCGCTCACCTGTTGGGCGGGCTGGAGGACGCCGGGTCTCGCCTTCTCCGGGTCGGGGTCCCGGTCCCGCTGCAGCAGCCCTTTCTTGGGGTGCATGTGCCGACACAGGCAGGTGACCCCGCACAGCGCCAGGATGCTGGTGGCCGTGCCCAGCGTGGCGCCCAGCGCGATCACCGGCACCGACAGCACCATGGTGCCCGCGCCCCGCGCGGGGCTCGTCCTGCCGCCGGGCACCCACCCCGGCCGGGCCCGCCGCCCGCCGCCGTCACGCAGCTCCGAGCTCCGGGCGCGCCAGCTGCTCGCCCGCCGCCGGAGGGGCGGGGAGGGAGGGCGGCCGCGAGGACGTCAGAGCAGGGGGCCGGGCCGAGCGGCCGGCGGCCAGCACTCAGCCGGGTGTCAACGACCACCCCTCCCCAGGACACGTGACCGGACCCCCACCCCAGCAGGAGCCGGGCCTTTCAGGCGGCAGGAGCCTTGAGATCGTCTCGGGCTTTCCCCCGGGCTGGACGTGTGAGGACGCCGGTGCCCGAGAAGGGCAGGGCGTCGCGCTGTGCCAGAGAGAAAACCCGGGCTCGAACCCCTGTCTCCTGCTCCCTCCGGGTACCTGGGGTCACTCTATCAGACTGTCACGTCCCCCTTTAGTCACACCCCCTGGCTGAGGAGGGAGTGATATGTGTTCCTCCCAGGAGCTTTTCAAACAGGAGCACACGAAGCTGGAGAGCTCCCATCTCCCGTACGTGAACTTGCCAGGTGTTCGCCCAGGCCAGAGGCCGGCAGCCAGGCAGAGAGGGAGCTGGTCCCGTTCGACCTGGTGGTGACTGCGGGGTGGTGACTGCAGCTCCTTCAGCCCCGACCCTTTAGTCCTGGGACCCACCCGGATCTGCGGGTGTTCTCGCGTCTGTTTACTGATGAGGACGCTGAGGCTGCAGCTAGAAAGATCCAGTCACCCTGGACCCAGATTCAGGTTTGCAGGTTCAAGTCCACACCTCACCCTCCGAGAAAGGACTTGCCTTTGAAGGACAAATAGTATCAAATGCAGCGGCCCGGAGTGGGCCCTTGCCTGGAGAGGGGGTGGGGTGGAATAAAAGAGGTAAGCTCAGAGGGGACATTAGAATCCCAGACATGAGAATCATCACCAAGCCCTTATTATGTGAAATGTTAAAGGGACTTATCTAAGAAAAAGAAGATAAAAAATATGAACAGCGAAAGGACAGCAAACTCACAGTTATTAAGAACCACACCTAAAACAAAAGCAAACTAAGAGGACAGCTAGATCAGGAGTGAACCATAGAAATGGAGATCATATGGAGGGTTAGCAACAGGGGAGTGGGAGGAGGAGAAGGTACAGAGAATAAGTAGCATAGATGGTAGGTAGAAAATAGATGGGGAGGGCAAGAGTAGTAGGGGAAATATAGAATCTAAAGAACTTGAGACACGTGGTCATAAACTAAAGGGAGGGAATGGTGGGGGAGGGATGTACAGGGTGGAGGGGAATGAAGGGGGAAATAGAACTGTAATGGCATAATCATTAAAATATATTTTTTAAAAAAGAATCCCAGGCATGAGGACAGTCCCAGATCGGACAGCAGCGACGTTTGCTGTTTTGATTACGTGGGGTGTGTATGTAATTCAGCATTTGTAGGGAGTGGGCTGTACCAGGCGTGTGGGGCACGTGTGAGAAGGCGATTCCATCCACGACAGGGCTCTCCACTTCCCACGAAGCGGCGGACTCCCAGCTCTGTGATGGCTCCACCAGACCTTTTCTACTGAGCTGCCGAAATCACCACCACCTGGTACTCGCCAGTGTTTCCGTTGTCCACCCCTGCCTAATAAACAGCTGCCAAGGTCAGGGGTGCCCATCCCGAGCAGTTAAAAATCCGTATATAACTTTGACTCCCCCAACACTTAACTACTTACTAATAGTCTACTGATGACCAGAAGTCTTACCATTCACATGAACCACCAATTAACACATATGTTGTATGTTATTGGGCTGGCCAAAAAGTCTGTTCAGTTTTTCCTGTAAAATAATAGACACTTTTCATTTTTACCAATAACTTTATTGATTAGGAAATTTTGAGTGTGTTGGCTATCTCCTGCTATTGGCTTCTAGTGGGTAGAGGTCAGGAGAGCTGCTGAACATCTTCCAATGCATAAGACAGCACCACAGCAAAGAACTTTTCCCAAAATGTCAATAGTACCAAGAAACTTTGCAAAGCATTTTGACACTTCCAATCAGTCACAGCACCTTCTCCATATGTGGCAAAAAATTTTTTTGTATTTCATCTGTGTTTTTACCTTTCTTGAGATAATAAAGCGTAATACATTAAACTGTGTATTTTCTTTCATCTTCAATATTAAAATGGCTGCAAAAAAATTCACCAATTTTGTTAAGTTTTTTAAATGTACACTGATAGCAATACCTGGAAATCCGCAAGCCCAGCCCAAGTAGCAGCCATTTCAGATTGCTTTATAATTCAGGGTGGTCCTGGCCAAAACACAGGCATAACTGATCTTGGCCTGCGCCAACCGGGAAACCCTAGGGGTTAGTACATCCAGTGGACAGCTACAGACCACGCTGGAGCACCACCACCCTGCCCCTGCACAGCCAATCCTCCATGGAGGGTGGAGGGTGGTGGTCAGTGGTCACAGCCAGTCCTTGCAGCTGACTGGCCTGGGGAAATCCCTCCCATTGACCTGCCAACAGCAGCCAAGTTTCAACTACAGAGGAGGGTGTGCTCAGCCCACATGAAGGGCGCACCTCAATACCCAGCTTGGGTGACAGGGGAGGCTGTGCCACTGGACTCTCCAGGACTCCTGCTGCATAAGCCCACACTACCAACACACGGAGTCAAAGCAGCTCTACCTCACACACTGAAACAAACACAGGGAGACTACCAAAATGAGGAGACAAAGAAACAGGATCGCATCAAAACTCCAGAAAAAGAGCTAAACAAAATGGAGATGAGCAATCTCAGACGCAGAGTTCAAAACACTGGTTATAAGGACGCTCAGGGAACTTAGTGAGGACCTCAACAGCATAAAAAAGATCCAGTCATAAATAAAGGATTCACTAATTGAAATGAAGAATAATTTACAGGGAAACATCAGTAGAGTAGATGAAGCCAAGAATCAATTCAATAATTTAGAACAAAAGGATGCAAAAATCCCACCTAATCAGAACAAGAAGAAAAGAGAATTAAAAAAAAAAACCAAGGATAGTGGAAGCAGCCTGTGGGACCACTTTAAGCAATCCAACATTCATTTCATAGGGGTGCCCAGAAGCAGAAGAGAAATAACAAGAAATTGGAAAACTGTTTGAAAAAATAATGAAAGAAAACTTTCTTAATTTGGTGAAAGAAATAGACATACAAGTCCAGGAAGCACAGAGAATCCCAAACAACATGGATGGGAGGAGGCCCACTCCAAGACACATAATTAAAATGCCAAAGGTTAAAGATAAAGAGATTAGAGGGTGGGTGTGGGAGAATGGGTGAGAGGTGAGGGTATTAAGTACAAACAGGTAGTTACAGAATAGAGATGGAGATACAAAGTACAGTATATGAAAGGGAGTAGCCAAAAAACTTACACACATGACCCATGGACATGAACAAGGGTGGGGGGATGGACTGAGGGAGTGGGGGGTGCTGGGTAGAGGGGGACAAAGGGAAAAAATCAAGAGAGCTGTATAGCATAATCAGTAAAATATAATTAAAAAAGAAAAAATAAAAGAATAAGTGCATGCTGATATGACAGTGTCACAATGTGATCTAACCAAATTGTTTTGAATGAAGTTAAAGACAACTAAGCACCACTAGAGCCATCATACAGGAAAAACAAATGAACTTTTTGTCCAACCCAATACATGTATTATATACTATACTCTTACAATAAAGTAAGCTAGAGAAAATAAAATGTTATTAAAAATCATAAAAGAAGAGAAAATACATTTATTGAAAAAATACATATATAAGTCTACTCTTGAAACTCACATTGTTTGAGAGTTCACTGTATTTTACTTTTTCTCATGATTATGGCTGACTTGGCTCAGCTGGGTGGTTTTTTCCTGCTCAACATGTTGTCTTCTGGGACTGTGGTTCACTGGGCCGGAATGTCCAAAATGGCACTCCGTGTGGTGAGCAGGTAGTGCTGCCTGCCTCCAGGAGCACAGGTGGGCTGTCATCCAGTGCACTTTGGTTCTCCCACGTGGCTAGAGCGTCTCACAGCACAGCAGCCAGGTTCTAAGAAGAAGAAAGCAGAAGCTGCCTGTTCTCTTGAGGCCTGCACTGAAAAGTTGCAGAACATCATGTCTTTGGTCAAAGCAATAGTCTTCCTCTGATCCTTTGCCTACAGGACATCTAAAAATGATGCTTCTGAAATGCAAAACTGATGCTGTCACTCACACACATAAAAGACTTCAGAGATTCTCCAGAGGTAAACTCAAGAGCCTCCAGTTACATCCAAAACCCTTTGTGACATGGTCCCTTCCAATCCCTTCAGACTGCCTTCTGCATACCTCCCAACATGCCCTTGAGCCCCAGCGACTCCCAGAGACTGGGATTTCAGTCAGTAAGTATCTTTAGAGACACTCATGGGTACATATAGCAGGCACTCAGTAACTGCTGAAAGGTGAATGACTCAGACAATCATCTTATGCAAGACTTTCAGTGACTTGGAAGGAGTCCCATTTGCTAAATAGCTTCATTTGACTAAATTGACTCTTCCAAGTATTTATTTTGTGCCTGCTGTATGCCAGGCACATTTTCCTACTGACCTCCACTTGCAGCCAACTGTGAAGCCAAAGCACCTCAGTCCCTGGTGGTAGCCTTGGCTTTGTCTCTCATAAGCTTCCCTGGGAGGTTTTCTTGGCTCCCAGGCCTGGCGATGCAAAGTGTTCTGGGGGAATAAGAGTTTTAATTAATGCTGTCATTCCAGCGCTCCCATGTCTGCCCTGCTCCCCCAGGGAGACATCAATGCTATGGAGCAGAATCTGGAGTCGGGGTGAGGGAAAGGATGAAGAACATTTAATAACAGACGTTTTCCAATGGGGATCAGAAACCTGTCATGTGGTCCCTCGTTACTATGGTTACTGGGATGAGAGCGGCTACAGTGCCCTTCATCTTTAATGGGAACAGGGACCCCAGCCCAAGAAGAACAGCTTGCCTTTTGCCTCTTTCACACACAGTGAATCCCTGGCAGGGCTGGGGTAGACCTCAGGGGATTTGGAAGCCAGCAAAGCCATCAGGACTC